AAAAAAAAAAAAAAACTCAGAAAGAATTCTCACCATCAGTTTTTGAGGTCAGCCTATCCCTGGATTTAAGGACTAAACCAACTGAACATTGGAATCCATTTGCCCGAGGATCTTGTGATAGAAACCAGTATTATGTAGCTAGGGGCGGCTCAGCTGAGGAAGTGCTTGCCTTGGAAGCACCAGTACCTGAGTTCAATCCTCAGAACCTACATAAAAAATGCTGGACATGTGCTTCTAATCCTAGCCCAGGCGGCGGTGGGGGTGAGGGTGGAGACAGATGGGACTCTCTCAGCCTAGCCTACTCAGTACGCCCTAGGCTAGCGAGAGGCCTTGTCTTAAACAAACTGAACAGTTCCAGAGGAATAACCGCCAGGGCTGTCTTCTGGCCTTCATACACACATGCACACACATGCACACATATTACAAAGGAAAAATAAAGTGAGGGGATTCTGGTACATTCTGTACATTTGACAACTCATTAAAATTTTTTTTCAAAGTTGACTTCGCTGATTCAGAGTGAGTTTGGAACCGACTGTCGGATTCTGTTTTCACCTTCTGGCTAGTGTGCTCTGGCTCTTGCCTAGCAGAGGCCACACATTAATCTCACCCACCTCCATCACCCTGACATGCAGGACTGACAGAATTTATGAATTCACTGAAATTGGTTTCCCTTTGGCTGCACTGCCTCCAACATCCTGGACGAAGCGTATCTACAGTTTCAGCATAACGCGAGATGGGTCGAGACTCTCCTTCTGGAGCCGGGATTAATAAATAAAACGAATGGCTGAGACTGATCACCCCTTTAGATGGCAATGCACAGAACTTAAGATGGATCATGTCATCTGTAGCTCTGTGACATATATTACATTCTAGACATGAGATGAATAATTCATGCAAATAAGCAAGAGCGAACATCTAAGAATAAAGTCTGTGGAATAAACGACAGACTTCATGAACTCTGACTTAGGATATCCTGTTGACATATTTCTAACTATCACCTGAGAGTGCAGTGTTATATAAGAAAACTCTCCTACCTGATTTTTAAATAGAGATTGGGGGGGGGGGTTGTGTGTGTGTGTGTGTGTGTGTGTGTGTGTGTATATATATATGTGTGTCTGTCTGTCTGTCCATTGACTGCTTCAATTAGCTTCTACCTTGTGTTTTGAAACAGGCTCCCTCATTAAAGTTGAAGCGCAGTAATTCCGATAGACTATCTAGCCAGCAAGCCCAGGGATCTTCTGTCTCCCCACAGCAGCGTTGGAATTACCAGTGTAAGCCACTATACTGGATTTATTTCCACAGGTTCTGGGGGGTTGAACTCAGGTTCTAAGGCTTGTACAGCAGGCCCTTCACCAACTGAGCCATCTTCCCAGACCCTAGAGTCTTAAAAATAAATAAATAACAAAAGACTAAATATCCAGACCTCTAAAAAAGTAATGTATATATTTTTCTTACACTACTATAAAGTGAATCTTCAGTTTAGAAGTTTTAAAGCCCTTCCAATACCTTAACTAAGGAAGGGGTAAAACTGTCATGAAGGGTATGAGTGGCAGATTCAGATTCTTTCATTTCCTACTGAGTGGATCTCTAAAGGTAAAATATGGAGTAAGTCTTGATAGTTAAACTTCTTACATTACTTAAATTAGTAATTTAAAAGTAACATAACCACTCAAAGTAACATAACCACTCACCCCCCCCCCCTCAGCCTGGTTTTTGGTTTGCAAGGCAGACAGAGTTAAAATCTACTTCCACAGCTTAGACTAGACAAAGCCATGATTACCACCGGGAGCGCGTCTGGAAGACCTGTAAATGGGAGAAGACGTGGTTGCTTTTCACTGTGCTCAGTGGAGAATGTCACTCATCAGCCCCGCCGGAGGGATGAGAGGGGGCTGGAACCCATGACCAGGTGCAGAGGCCACAGAGATGCAAAGATAAGCCACTCTACAGCCTCAAAAGCTCACAGAGTACTTGAGGATTGGTACTGAGCACTCCACAGGGAGCACAGTGCTTGGTCAGTTAAGTTCTGCCTAGGTGTCTATAAGAAAGCAGGCTAGGTCTTTCTGGAATGTTCTACGGATACTTTACAAGATTTCTGACTTTGTCATTAACTACGTAGTTAATTTGATCTTTTTAACCACTAGATAACAATCATCACTATAAAAACGTGCGATGTTTTTGGTCTAAAGCTGCAAAGAGAGACAGTGACATGGCCCCCACCCAGCCCTGGCACTCCCGCTGCCCCGCTGCCCATGAAGAAGCGGAGGAGACTGAACACTTGAGCTCTTCTTTGTGTTAAATTTGTTTTCACGGGATCAAAGGTTGAGTCGTCTTTATCAGGGATGATGATTAAAACTCTAGAAACCCATGGTTTGGTTGAAGTGTTGGAACAGCTGCAGTGCCGGTTGTCAGGGACTGCAGTGGCCTGGGCGCACCAGGAAGTTTCCTGGCGGGGCGATGAGCCACATGGCCTGCGATGACACCATTACATCCAGAACCAAGTCACCGTTTGACAAGGGTCTGCGGAGGCTAGGGACGAAGGAAGGAGGCTAAACCAAGCAAAGGTTTTGCACCTGGCCCTTTGATGGAGTTGTTGGATACCTCTGAGTCCATGCAAGCAGGTTTGAAACTCCAACCTATGTGGTGGGGCTCTGGCATAGAAACCTCTGAGTCACCCTGCTGTGGTTGCCGATGCCCCTCCCCCATCACGTCTGAACCCTGCCCCTGCAGTGTCTGGCACTTTCCTTGGGCCTGCCTGCCTGCTTGTTCCATTGATGTGTCTGTTGTATGTTTCTCTCCTGTTGTCCTTCCATTACTCTTTCCTTCCCTTCTCTTCTGTCCTTCCTCCCTCCCTCCGTTCCTTCTTTCCCAGAATGGTTTGCGCATCTAGGCTGCCAAGGTCTCCGGGCCCCAGCCTAGGATCTAAGGAAAACGCAACCTCGGGTGACTGCCCTCTGCGTCAGTCTTAGACTTGCTTAGTCTCTAGCTTTCGGAGTCTAAAGTTTGTTTCATGGGTCGCCACCAGAGTCTTAGGCTGTGCTTAATCAAAGACATAAGGAAAATACATCTCTGTCATTCTCCCAGAGTGGCCGTCCTCCTGTCTTTTCTTCCTCAGTGGCCAGGGTAAATATCTGTACTATAAATTCTCTGTGCCTAAATGTGCACGCTTTCTTGCGTGAGCATGTTCAGTTCCCATCACCACCATTCCCAGAATCCCTCACTGCTCCAGGTAGAATCTTATGCCCATCCTTTCCTTTCTCTCCTACTGTGGGTTTCCATAGACTCGGGCAGCACCTCTGCATCTGTGATTGGCTAATTTTACTTTGTACAACGTGTTCAAGGTTTGTCAATTGCTGTAAATGGTTGTCCTGCAATCCAAACAACTGCCATCTTCCTCCCTTTGCTGTGGCTGCTTGTAAGAGACCATCATGATCAGGCCTGTTGGTGTTTCCTCAGAGATGAAGGTGTCAGGGAGGGTCATCTGACCACCACCTGAATTCCACTCTTCTCAGCCATTTGTATGCAATTCTGTTCTACCTGTACATGGCCATGGGACCTTGGGAGGTGCTAGAATATAGGCTGCGAAAGGTAATGGAGGTGAGGGGCAGCACCTATGCAGCTATGGGGAAGCCATCATGAAGGATAAAGACTTTCTGGTGTATCTGCTTTGGCAGCACACAGTTCTGTAAGCAGCCCCTCACTCATGCTCCGTAATTAAGCCTGATAACTTTATTGGTTCCCATAGTGAACTTTATTGAGATAGTACAGTGGTTTGTCATTGGTACCTTGCAGGGAAGATACAGATGTTGCTTATTTCTCCTGGGGGAAAGAATTCCATCAACATTCACACCACAGCATATATGAGAATTCCCTTCTTCTTACTGGGTGCATGATACTCTCTTTATGTAGACATACAGTATCACATTCTGCATATTTGGTTTTCTGCCAATGGGCAGTCCATTGTTGCCTAGCTTGCCTTCACGGGGTAGTGCTGCCTTATGGTGAGAATGGGGTGGTCACATGAGATGGGGAGGGGACATGTGAGGAGGGCGTGGGCGTGAGAAGGGCATGGGCATGCGATGTCTTACCTGGGTTTGCCTTTCTGTTCGTTTTCTTGGTTCTGCTAAAGGCTGCAGACAAGGAGACCTTGATCCTTGGGTACAAGTCCTGACATCTGAAACCATTGGCAGCTACTTTTCCTTTAGGCATTCTATACAGCTGGCAGACCGGTGCATAAAAACTGCAGTAACCTTCCAGAGTGGGTTTATCCACAATGTAATCTGCTATTTTTAAATGCCAAAAAGAAAAGAAAGAAAGAAAGAGAGAGAGAGAGAGAGAGAGAGAGAGAGAGAGAGAGAGAGAGAGAAAGAGAGAGAAAGAAAGAAAGAGAGAGAAAAAGTAATATTGAGAGTCTGCGTGCATCCCTGCTCCCCGAGACCTCATCAGCCCCTGTCAGAGTGCAGCCTGTGCAGAGTGCTGGGAACTGTCATTGAGCCTCAGGGAACCAGCCAACCGAACTTGTAAGCAAATAAAAAACCAGGAACCTGGTGAGCAACTATGGGCAGGTGCTTTTCAGAAGACATGGTCAGGGTGCTAATGAGACTGTGAGCCTTGGGGTTTGGTAACAGTGATTTGCTGGTGGGAACTCTGATATCACAGGGTAAAGTACACCATCTGCACCCTGACATGTTCCATTCTCCAGAAAGGCAGAGTTGATTCAATAGGATATGCACACTTCTACCAAAAGTAACAGCACACCTCTGTGAATATCTCCAGTGTCGTGTTTTGACTCTCCTCTCTCTTCTCAATCTCTCTCTTCTGTCTCTCTGTCTCTCTTTCTCACTCTCTTCTCTCTCTTCTCTCTCTTCCCTTCTCTTCTCTTCTCTTCTCTTCTCTTCTCTTCTCTTCTCTTCTCTTCTCTTCTCTTCTCTCTCTCTCTCTCTCTCTCTCTCTCTCTCTCTCTCTCTCTCTCTCCTCTTTCTCTCTCTGTAGATCAGACTGGCATCAAACTCCACCTTCCTCTGCCCCACCTCCCTAGTGCTGGAATTAAAGGCATGTGCACCACCACCCAGCTGTGATCTGACTCTTAAAGGACTCCAGAGGCCATGTACTAGAGGCTTGTTCTCCAGTCTGTGGCCTACAGGAAAGGGACAGAACCTTCAGGTGTAGCTGAAGTTTTCCTGGCCCTGCCTGGCCCATGGTCAGGACAAATCTCTCTCACTGGCCAGTCCTGCAGCCAAGTAAACACACAGAGACTTATATTACTTATAAACCGTATGGCTGTGGCAGGCTTCTTGTTATCTAGTTCTTCTATCTTAAATTAACCCATTTCTATTCATCTATACCTTCCCACGTGGCTCATGGCTTACCGGTACTTTACATCCCGCTCCTCATCGTGGCGGCTGGCAGCGTCTCCTCACTCTGCCTTTCACCTCCCAGACTTCTCCTCTCCCTTTGTCCCGCCTATACTTCCTTCCTGGCTACTGGCCAATCAGCACCCTATTTATTAACCAATCAGAGCAACACATTCAGAGCATAGAGACCATCCCACAGCATTCAGGAGGTGGAGCTTTGGGGAAGGAAGTTAGGTCCTAGGTGTATAGCCATCCCCCCTTTCTCTCTGCTTCCTGGCCACCATGCAGAGAGCAGCACTGCCCCACCAACAGTCCTCCCTCCACCGTCTTCTGCCCCCTTGGCATGAAAGAAACGGAGCCAGCTCCCAGTGGCTGTGAACTCCAGCCGGTTTTCCTCCTTTTCAGCTGGCTGCCTTGGGTGTGTGCATGGTAACAGAAAGCTAACAGCTATGGTAAACAGTAGCCCCAGCTCCTCCCCGAGTTTAGATTTGAAGCCCTAGACTGACCCAGGATACAAACATCTCAGAACAAGGCTGTTGCTCTGTCCTCACGGACAAACCTCCTGGCACCCAGACGTGAATCCTGGCTGTGGTTTCCTTTGTGACGGCACTGTTCACGACAGGCATCAGACATTGCACTGTGGGACCTGGGTGTCAGAAGCTAAAACTTTATTTTACTCAATTCTGGAGTCCAAACCAGTGAAGGAAAGCCATTGGTCCCATTCCAAACACACACAAAAATGTTATCTATATCAGATACAATTATATCAGAGTCAGGGCTGGCAAGATGGCTCCGAGGTGGCTTGCTGCAAAGCCTGTGGATTCTCAGAAACCACACGGTGGAAAGAGAGAACTGACTCTCCTGCGTTGTTCCTATCACTGTGGCATGTGCACATATGTACACACACACACACACACACACACACACACACACACACACACACACAAATAAAAATTAAAGTCATGAATGGAAGCCAAAAGAAGAAGAATCTCTGGGTATAGAGACAGGAGACAGTCAGACTTAGAATAAAAAGTAGGAACTGGAGTTGAGGCTGTTCACCCCAATCTTAAGTCCAGGGCCATGCCTGAAGACAGGTTGAGCACCTCAGTTAAGGGGCATAAAACCATGTCCTGAGTCTGCAGGCTTCGCATTACTTAGAAACCATGACTAAAACCTATGAATAGGGGGCAGCTTCCCCAAGTCTGTTCCAAGGCCTGTTGTCATAGACTTACTCTTAATAGCACCATGGTTTGCCCTCAAAACTGTCCAAACTTAGGCAATTAATTATATGGCCTGGGGTTTCTATTTTCAAACTAATCAAATATAAAGCTATTTGGGGGGCAAATTTGCCAATATGACATAGGTCCCCATTTGGAAGTGCCCAGGCCCCTTCATTGTAGGGATGGCAGTATGGAATTGCCCATATTCACAGACGAAACTCCACCTGTTTTCTGGGCAAGCTAGGTGTTGTCTGAAGGTGGAACCAGACGGCTTCATTTTGCTTTTTGGTTTCTCTAGAAGACAGCTGGGGATGATTGCTGTATAGGAATAGCAGTAAATGCCTGTCAAGCACGACACCTCCTGCTGTATCTGTGGACTAGCTGCAGGAAATACTCAGACCCTCCTAGAGGACTAGCGCCAGGCTCAGCTGGGAGGTACGGGGCCGCCCGGGCCCCACTTTGCCTGACCCAGCTGTTGGCTGCAGCTGCTGTACTATGCTTGATTATTGAACCTGAGAGTGAAAATGTAGTCCATTATCACAGAAACAACAAACTATCTCCCCTCAGGGCATCGGGCAGGACCTTGAACATCCAAAGACTCTAGAAGCCATTGTCATCAGCTAGATGCAATTCGATTCTGAGTAGTGGCTGGGCCTTAATACGTAATTAGTGCTGACAAAATAACAGTAGAAAGACATTTATTTCTAATGTGAATGCAATAGGAGGTTGTGAGAACACATTATAGCAGAATAACTCAGTCTTTGTCACATTTAGTATATGGCTGGCCTGGATAAGGCGTCTCATGCACCGGATCTCCCCATGAGGAAAGCTCTCTGGAACAAAGAGATACCACCTCTATAACTAGGTGAGCCACCGCCGCTTTGCTCGGATGCCCTGAGAATCAGCATCGCTGACATTTTTTTATGTTGTTGTCCTCTAAAGATTTATTTGCATTAGAGTCCAAAGGTCTTTTCCCAGACAGGGTTCAAGTGTCCAGTCCTCTGGATTCCAGTTCTAAGCTGCTAAAAGCAAATATACCAGGCTGTCCCATGAGCTTGGAAAGATGTACCATGACATGCTCTATGCCAAGGAATACATGTATTACAAACATGGATCTTCTGAAGTCAATTTAAAAAAAATTCACAGGGGCCTACAAAGAGATAAAAATGATTGTGTGCGTTGTACTCCATGGCTTCAGTACCAAGAATCTCTTTTTTCTATTTTTTCCCAAATACATTTGAAAATAAGTTGGGCATATGGGCACACAGAAGCATCGTGTTCTGAGTAGGTAGAAATGCCATTTTTGCATGCTCAACTGTGCCTCTAAAAACTTCTGTACAGAAGCAGATCGTTGTGTAATTCATGAGCATCATGCCAAGGCCCCAACCAGACAGCCACTGTGGACTCACGGAGGCAGCCTCCTTGGTGTCTCCCCCTGGCTGCTGTCTTCTGGCTCCTGCCTGAGCCCCCTTGCAGTCAAGCTCTGATCCTCTAAGCTGTCCTCCGCCTTTACCAGCCCTCAGGCTGCTCCGAGGAGACACTCCTAGGAGAGGATAAACACACGCTTCCTTAGCCACTTGCCCAAGTCCTGGAATTCAGACATCCTTGCCTTCTAAGCAATGATGATGGAAAGGGGAAGCTCACGAAATGTTAAAGGGACCAAAACTATCAAGGACATGCTTAAGAGTTTTATAAATTAGCCTATTGCTTTTTATCCTTGATGACGAATTTCTAAAACTCAAATTTGCCTTGATAATGGTTTATTCCTGTCAGTTTACTTTTACCTAATCAGAACAACCTTACTAATTTTATTGAAACAGAAGTTGGTATTATTCTTCAAAGAATGTCATCTTATGTCTCATGGCAACACAATTGTTTAATTAGAGAAAACAAAAACTTTTAATATTTTCCTATCATTATTCCTCAGTATGTATCAAATTATTATATATTGAATTCTGTTCAATTTTTTTATTTTTAAAGTTGCTGCTTGAATTGCTCACTTGAGACTAATATAAAAAATAATTCAATGAATTATGGCTTGGGATTAGACAGATTTTCCAACAATTTGAGAAATGTCCCTAAATATACTTCTGCTACTTGGTACTATGCATTTATTTGAATTGGCATTCTCAACAGTGACAATTATAAAATCAAAATATCAGTAACTCTGAAAAGCAGCAAAGATGGTCTGCATCCTGCAATGTCATTCAGCCAAGCTTTAATTCTCTGTAAAAATAAATAAGCGATCCATCTCATTAGCATGCAAATTTACTTTCATCCTTGATAAATGCTAAAATTATATGCATACCAAAGAATAATTTTAAATAATTTTTATGACTTACTATCAGTAAATGTTTTTGTAGACCCATTTTATATACTGTTCAAAGACACACACATGCACACAGCCAAGACCCTGAATGGAGCTCAATGTTCCAGGAAGTCAGCTACTTGGGAACTGCAGACAGTTAGGGGCGACCCCACCCCAGACACCATGTGGTCACAGAGAGACAACAGACCCTACAGTTTCATAAAAAGCTACCTAAGGCAAACAGCCACCTCTCCCATTCTGCCCTGGTGGAACCCCTTCTCCCTCCAGTACCCTCCACTACAGAACCCTCAGCTTGAAGCATGGAATGTGCTCTCTTGAACTCTGGTCATCATGTTTCTGAGTCCTGTGCCCTGACCACAGTGTGGCCAGGTCATCTAAAGTTCCTTCTTGTATTTCTTCCTACAGACATACTCCTCCACCTCATGAGTTTCAGAAGGCCCAGCACAAGGCAGCTGTGTCATCTCGGGGCGCTCCATCCTGCAGAGGACAGTAACTTCTCGGGTACTCGCAAGATAGGTGCAAATGTCAAGGTTTGGAACAACTCAAGCCAAGTAGCAGTGATAACCAGTGGATTTTTAAAATAAAGGACACACTAATTTTTTATATTTATTTATTTTCAACTATGGGGTGGACTACCATGAAGCTTGTGTGAAGGCCAAAGGTCAATTTATGGGAGTCAATTCCTCCAACAGAACCACATCTACTCCAACAAGGCTACACCTCCATTAGTGCCACTCTCCTTGGGGAGTGATTTTTTTTCAAACCATCCCAGGGTCATTTAAAAGTGAGCAGTAAATTGTACCTCCAATAATAAAAGATGTGTTTAGTTTAGATTTTTAAGTATTCTAACATAGGTATAGAAAATAACATTAGAAAAATCATTACAACCACATTTAACCAGAAAATACATAAATCTGTGATGTTAATTGCAAGTTTTTTATTGTAGTTTATCTACTATTACCTGAGGATTTTTTCCCCTAAAACATTTCATTTATATATAACTTGTTATTCCTCAGTTTTATTTTGTTTTTGAAGAGATTTTTCTATAACAAAGTACAAAAAGGCATTCTGAGGGAAACATTTTAAATGAAATTATTTATGCAAAAAGATTATTTTTATATTTACTAGGCTATTGAAATGCTTCTTTTCAATCCAGTTCTTTTCATTTTCACATAATACACATCAGGACAACTCCCAGGAACAATAACTACAAGCAAAACTTTTTCTTGCCTGTCTTCATCTAGTCTACTCTTCCATCTTCTATTGTGTGAAAGTTTGAGTACTTTCTATTCAAGGCCCTTGAGTTCACTACTTCTGACGAGAATTCTCTTCTGACGCCCACAGTTAGGTCACCCTTTTGGAATAATGCCTTCATTTCAGATGCAGCCTTGCACTCTTCTTTGCCTTCTAAATATTTTTGTGTATGTATGTACATGTCTGTGTGTAGGTGCATGTGTCTGCAAGTTCACATGCATGTACGCACACATGCACACACACAGTGTGGAGACCACAGGCAACCCTGAA